TAAATCCTATAAAACTTCCAGAAGATCCTCAGATTGAAGATCCGGGAAGAACTTGCTTGAAGAGCGAGAGTGCTTGACGATTCACGGGAAGTAGAAGTCACACAAGGCTGGGATGGTAGCACAGATCTGCTAGATCCAGGAGAGTCTTGTTCTCAAACAGTAAGGAGGTTAGAAAATTGAGGGGATCAATTGTTCTGACGTACTGTAAGTTACCTTCTACAAATAGTGGATCTCTACTGGCTTTTGCCCGGAGGTTTTTCCCCGTTTGGGGTTCTCCGTCAACATTCGTTGTGTTCTTTTATTGCTTTAATTTATTTATTGTTACCGGTAATTCAACATAAGTAATTAAGACATGTGAATGAATCTGGACAAACTTTAATTCTTGTGACTTGTTGCACGAATTAATTGATAAGTTTTTTAATTCCGCATGAACACCTATTCACCCTTCCTCTAGGTGTTAGTTGGGTCGAACGTTAGGTTTTTCAAGTGGTATCAGAGCTAAATCTCGAATCCTGACCCATAGCTGTCTAGATGAGTCAATCACTGTCTGTACCTCCGTTTTTCAACGGAAGTAATTATGCGTATTGGAAAGTTAGAATGCGTGCATTCCTCAAATCATTAGATGAGCATGTGTGGATTAGTGTTCAAAATGGTTGGAAACCTCCCTCTAGTATCGTATCAGGAAACATTCATCTTACTGACATATCATTGTGGACTAAAGATGAGTTAGCTGCATGTAACTGGAATAGTAAGGGAATTCATGCATTATTCATGGCACTATCACCAGAAGAGTTTAGGCGAGTCTCTATGTGCGAAACTGCTAAAGAGGTTTGGGACATTCTCGAAACAACACATGAGGGAACTAAAATAGTAAAAAACTCAAAACTGCAAATGCTAGCCTCTAGGTTTGAAGAAGTGAGGATGAAAGATGATAAAACTTTTGATGAGTTTTACGCTAAGCTAAATGACATAGTTAACTCGAGTTTCAACCTAGGTGAGAGAATTTCCGAGACCAAGATAGTGAGAAAAGTACTTAGATCCCTACCTGAGAGATTTAGGCCTAAAGTCACTGCTATTGAGGAAAGTAAG